GGCACCCCCGCACGGGGTCTCACAAACACCCGTGCGTATATGGGGGGGGGGGGGGGGCCCAGCCGGCCGCGCCCCACGCGGCGGCAACCGCTTACGAGCGCGGCGGCAGGCAGTGGGAGATGTGCGCGCCGAGGCCCGGGGCCGACACGAAGATGGCCAGACGGCTCATCTCCTTGATGGACATGGTGCTGACCGAGGCATAGTCGAAACGGCCACGCAGGTCGGTGTAGCCGTCCTTGACGAACTTGGCCTTGCCGCCCTCGCCGCCGGAGGCCGGCATGGCGTACACCTTGCAGTAGGCCCCGCGCAGGGCACGGCCGGTGACCTGGTTGGTGGCCAGGAGCTGGCCATAGTTGGCCGACAGCTGGACCGCCACCACAGAGCTGGAGTAGAAGGCCGTCTCGGTGGGCAGAGAGGCCACACGCTGGAGCAGCGGCGCCGTCGAAGCCGGCTCATACATGGCCGCCACCTCGATGACAAAGTTGCTGGACCGGTAGCGCTCGGCCAGCGGCAGGACCGAGGTGTTGACCACGGCCAGCGAGGCGGCGCCACCATCCAGGCGAAGGATCTCCTCGTGGGCCGGCATGACAAACTGCGCGGCGAAGGTGTCGCTGCTGCCGGCGTCCGACGGGCCGCGGGAGCGCTTGGTCGGGCGCGAGTTGTCGGACTCGCCGCCTGGGGACCCGCCGCTGCCGCCGGAGCCCTGCCCCGACAGCTCGGCCGCGAAGGGCTCCTGGCTGAACATCAACTCGGTGTTGATGGGGAAGTAGCGAACCCGGACGGCCTTCAAGCCGCGATGGGTCACACGCAGCGAGTAGCTGTCCACGACCAGCGTAAAGGAGAACACCGGCTGGGCGTCCACCACGGCGGTCATGCGCTTGTTGCGCGCATCGGCCCCCGAGTGCGAGGTCTCCGTATGCACCACCGCCGGGGCATCCGACGGCTGGCCCTCGCCACCATCGGCCACCGCCACCGCCGGGGCGCCCTCCTGCTTGGTGGAGGAAGCCGCCGGGCTGGCGGCGGAGGCCAGCTGCTGGTCGCGCTCCACCTCGTCCAGATACTGGCTGATGTCGGCGAAGTGCTTCTGCCAGCCGAGGGCCGGGCAGTCGGCATGCTTGTTGGCCAGCTGCCGGGCCAGCGGGAAGGTCAGGGCACGAGTGCCATCCGAGTCGCCCTCGGAAATGGGCGACAGCAAATCCAGGTACGCCACCAGGTAGTCCAGCTGGATGCTGTTGCCCGGGGCCTCCGGCCGGTAAGTGGGCACAATGAACCGGGTGAGCACATCACGCGCGGCCTCAATGCGATCCTGCAGGATCGGGTAGCAGCAGGCCACCAGCCACTCGTCCACCGTCGGCCGGCGGTTCAGCGCCGCCAGGTAGCTGATGAACCGGTGGTAGTGCCCGCGGAAGCTGTCATTCAGGATGTTGATGTGCTTGGCGCCGAAGTGCTTGCCGGTGGTGGCGCCGGTCGGGGCCGACTGGGCCACGGCCACGGCCAGCGAGGCGACAGCATCGGCCGCCGTGGCCACCGGCGCCGCCGGCCCATCGCGGTCCGAGCCGAACTGATGGCTGCGCGGGTTGACCAGCGGCGAGTAGTCATACACATCGACACTGAAGCCCGGCATGTCCACCATCGGCCGGTGGCGGAGGATGGGCGTCTCCAGGGTCACCAGACGCAGGCTGTTGACCAGACGCCGGTTGATGTGCGACTGCTCGAGCAGATCGCGCACACACTGCACCAGGAAGGCCGGCTGCCCGGCGGCCCGGCCGGCGGCCCCGGCACCGGGGTTGGCCTTCCAGGCCGCCTGCAAGTGCGTCAGGGCAAAGCGCCAGACATTGGCATCGAAGTGCCCGGCATCGCGCAGGGCCGCGACAAAGTCACGGAAGAAGTTGATATCCTGCCCCAGGCGCCAGAACACCAGACCCATGTTCAGCTGGTTCACGCGGACATCCTCCCGGCGAAGGTGCGCCAGGATCTCCTCGGCCGGGGTGTTGGCATCCGAGCAGAGGGTGGCCCAGGAGGCCGGGGCCGCCGCGGCCCCGGTGGCCGAGGACCCGGCCGCCGTGGTGGCCAGGGCAGCACGGCGGGCATTGCGCTCCTGCAGGCTGTCCACGACATCCAGGATGCGCGGCTCGGCCGGGGCCACACCCAGCAGCTGCGGCACCGAGGACGACGTCGACAGGGACACATGCGCCGGGTAGACGGCGAAGCGCCCGGCCCGGGGGAAGTAGAAGGTGAACTCCGTCCGGTGAGCCTGATACGGGTACAGGGTAATCGGCAGGTTGGAGATCAGCGAAGAAATGGGCATCGACCCGTCCGGCAGCTCGATGTACGGGTTGACCACCACCGAGGCGGAAGTCATGTTGATCATGATGACGAAGCACCGATAGATGCGGCCGACAATGAAGGGCCCGGTCTCGGTGCGATCCATGGACAGGCCATTCGGCAGGCGGATGGTGCTGTCGGTCGGGTCGATGAAGCGCTGCACCATGAAGATGGGCGAGGCGCCGCCGGCAGCCGTGGCGGAGGTGGTGCCGCCGGTGGACGCCGAGGTGGCCCCGGCCATCGTCGCATCGGCCGCCGGCGACCGGCCCGTCTCCACCAGGTCCAGGTGGAAGGCAATCACCGGGCTGGAGGAGGAGATGTGCGTCAGAGCACCCTCGACGGCGATGTTGACCGGGGTGGCGGCGGCGGTGGCGGCGGTGGCAGAGCCGCTCGGCAGCGCCGCGCCCAGGGGCAGATCCAGCGCGAAGAGCACCAGCAGCAGCTCATTCACATTGCCCGTGGCAAAGAGGAAGTTCCCCGAGAGGAAGCCCTCCAGGCGGCCATGGCGAGCGTAATCCGCCCAGAAGATCCCCGGGCCGATGAGCGACTCCGAGTAGCCGGAGCCACAGGCGAAGTACTCACTCTCGCCATACTGCCGGGTGACATCCAGCGACTCGTAGCTCGGGTCCTGGTCGACCTCCATCTGGTCGCTGAGGGCGGCCATCTCATCGTAAGAGGGCATGGCATTGGCGAAGGCCCCGCCACGCGTGGCGGCCATGGACTTCTTGGCCATGCGCAGCGGAGCCGCGGCCATGCTCATCAGCCCGGCGGACTTGACGCTGCGCGACCGGGTCGGCATGCTGCTCATCTCGGCATCCACGGACATCAGCGACATCGGGGCCGCCATGCGAGCCATCATCAGCTGCGGCTGAGGGGGCCCGGCCATGCAGGCCACCGGCGGTGGGGGCGCCGCGCCAGGGGCAGGGCACCGGGCGGCGGGCGGCGGCGGCGGCGGGCCACCGGCCGCCATAAACCCACCCCCGAAGCCCATCAGCATATCGCCACGGCCGGAGGAAGACCGAGACACGGCAAAGGGATTGCCCGCCGAGTCGTCATCCTCATCCTCATCCAGGTTCAGCTCCTCGGCGTCGCTGTCCCCATCGTCGGAAGACACCTCCTCGAAGGAGTCGGAGTCGGTGGACTTGTCCGAGTCACTGGCATCACTGTCAGCCTCATCGTCCTTGGACGCGGCGTCGGACTTCTTGGTGTCGAGCTCACTGCTCCCGAGAAGCTCCTGCAGCAGATCATCAATGTCATCCGAGCTGTCGAGGACCATCTTGTGGTGCTCGGTCCACTGGGTCGGGTCGGCGGTCTCCGGGGCCAGAAGCTCCACCCGGCGAAGGGCCGCCAGGCGCTGCTCCGGGGTCACCTGGTGCCCGGGAGACTCGGCGAAGCCCAGCAGCAGCAGCTCAAACACATTCAGCGACTGCATGGCCACCGGGCTGGTGTAGAATTCCAGCGACTCATCCAGCAGCCAGCGATCGATGAAGGTGTGCCGGACCTTGGCCACCAGCAGCGGGCGCACATGCTCCTCGAAGAAGACACGATCCCGGCGCCAGATGAAGAGATGCAACTCGTGCGAGGCATGCTTCGACAGCCAGTGGCGCTTCTGCGCGGTGGTCAGCGCCGGCCAGGCAAGCATGCGCGTCAGCAGGCCGTCCGCCGCCGGGGGAAGGTTCGACCGGGACTGCCGCAGCAGCGACACCACCGAATCCAGCGTCGACAGCAGCCGATAGCTGGACAGGGCCGAAGTGGACACCTGGATGGCCGGCGCGGCCGGGGTCAACAGCGACACCTTGCGATCGATGACAAAGTCCCCGAGGGCCGGGGCCAGGTGGGCCTCGGCCTCCTGGCCCGGGGCCACCGGAGCCCGGGGGATGGACGAGAAGAAGCGCACATCGCGCGAGAAGAGGTACCCGGTGGCCGGGGTGGCGGGCAGGCCGCCGGCCACGGCCGAGGGGACCCCCCCGGCCGCCGGCCGCGGCCCCTGCTGGAGGGCCACACGCAGGGAGGCCGTGGACTCGGTGTCGGCCGCCAGGACCTCGGCCACGGTCCACGGACAGGCGCCATTGGACACCGGCGGCAGCGGGATCACCAGGCGCCCGGACCGCAGGCACGGCCGCAAATTGGTCAGGGTCACGGCCACCGGGGCCAGGAAGTCACAAGCCGGCGCCAGGTGCGACGGGCTGATCAGGTTGGTGACCGGGTGCGCATGGCGCCCGGCAAACCCGAGCGACAGGAAGTCCCCGGTGTTGGCATTGTCCCCATGGAGCAGGCGCACATCGTCCGCCACACGGGCCGCCTTCTCCCGGAGCTGGCGGCCCACGCCAACCACATCCTCGCGATAGGCGGACGAATCGCGGACCTCATCCTTCTTGGTGGAGGTCTCCTTCAGGGGGACCGGATTGACCAGGGCATGGGGCTTGCGCAGCATGCTGCCCGGGGCCGGGCTCGAGCCGAGCTTCTGCCGGGACATGACATACACGGTCTCATCACCGAGGGACCGGTTGCTGGCGAAGGAGCCGGTCGGCTTGAAGCTCGGCTGGTCGCTCGAGTGGGTCGGCACCGCCGGCAGGGTGGTCGACAGCTCGGTGGAGGCATGCTCGCTGGCCAGCTGCGAGAAGACCACATGCACCCGGGTGGCAGGGGTGACATTGCCCAGGTGCAGCTGCATGGACTGGCCATCGGGCATCAGCTCGCACTGGCGGACAACCAGGTCACGCGGGGCGCGGCGATGGAAGAGCAAGTCATTCTCCAGGACCAGGTGCGAGTCGAGCCAGTGCTGGCTGCTGACCGGGGTGCCGGTGGTGCTGACCGTGCCGGCGGCACTGGCCGGGGCGCCGCCGACCGTCAGGCGGCGCTGGGCCACCAGCACCGGCCGGGCCAGCTGGCCATCCACAAACAGCTGGTACCGACCCGGGGGCAGGCCACGCGCATCGATGGTCGCATGCATGGGCCGGCTGAGCAGGGCCGCCGAGGAGGGCAGCCCCACACGCACGGCCTTCGACCAGTTGACCAGGGGCAGGGCCCTGTGCGAGAGGCTCGTGGAGAAGAGGCTGACCATGGGCGTGTGCAGGGGCTGGCTGGTGCCGGCAAAGCCGATGGGAATGTCCACCACCTCGTCCGGAGCCACAACCACCGTGTTGGAGGAGGTGGACCACATGCGGTTCTCCTGGGCAGCCGGCAGGGCGAACGTGCGGCTGATGTAACCATCGACCCAGGAACAACGGGCATGGACCTCCACCGTCAGAACACCGGCCAGCGGGCCAAGGGCCACGGTGCCCGCCTCGTCGGTCACCAGGGTCATGGCCACCCGGAAGGAGGACCCATGGGACACGCCATGGGCGCTGCCCTGGCCATCGCCATGATGCCGGCCGCGGTGGAACGGCTGGAGGTCGGCCCGGTACCGGCACCAGGTGGTCGTCAGCCAGAGGCTCAGGGTGACATTGGGCAGGGCCTCGCCGGCCGGGCCGAGCACGGCCAGCCGATAGCCGGACGCCACGTGGGGCAGCGGCGCGGCCGCGCTCCACTGCAGGTCATCACCGCCATCGGAGACGTCGGCATCCGAGAGACTGCCAGAGGCATTGGCGCTGCCCAGCGACGGGCTGGCCACCGAGGAGACCGACGCCACCGAGGCCACCGAGGCCGAGCCGGCCGAGGAGGCCGAACCACCGAGCGAGGTCTTCAGCTTGCCCAGGGCATTGGTCAGGATGTTGGTGGGGTTGACAATGGACCGGCGCGCGGGGTGATCCGCGCGCGGGGTCGGAGCCGGGGCATCGCCCGAAGAGCTGCACAGCGTCGGCATGTCGGATGTCTTGGCAAAGACATCGGCCGCCGGGGCCAGCTGGCTCGGGGGCAGGAGGAAGAAGTCGATCGGGGCCTGCTGCGACAGGCTGGAAGACACCTCGATGCTCTGGGAGGCCGCCAGGCGGATGGGCTCCTCGGAGCCGACAGCGCACAGGGCGCGGAGCTCCACCACCAGGCGCACGTCCACGGAGATGAGATTCGGCGGGACGCGGAACTGGCGAACCAGGTCGGCGGTGGAGGACAGCCGCACGCGAGAGTATTGCGTGGTGATGCGGTTGCCATCGGCCGTCTGGGCGCAGATGACCAGACGACCGAGGACCAGCGGCCCGGCGGAGGCAGCCACCCCGGGAACCGGGGCCCGGAAGAAGTCCAGCGGGACCGGGACCTGGCACCCGCCGACGCGCACCACCGGCCGGACTACCAAGCTGGCCATGGTGTGCGGCATGAGGGACTCGCGCGGCAGCAAACAGGCGATGGACAGCTCGTAGTTCTCGGCCAGCCGAGTGAAGGAGCTGGCAGCCACCTGGAAGTGGTCGCCCCGCTGGAGCAGCGGCAGCTCCGACGCGATGACCGGGCGCTCCCGGCTGTCGGGCCAGGACGAGGGGATGTTGGCATCGAGCCCATCACCCCCGCGCCGAGCGCCGCTGCCACCGCCTCCGTGGGATTCGGAATGAGCCAGGGCCTGCGAGTGGGACCCATCGCGACCGAAGGGGATGAGAATGTCACCGGAGGAGGCCGCCCGATAGGTGACCCCGGCGAACTTCACCGACACCGGGGCCTCGCGCGTGGGCTTGACAATGGCCCCGTCGCTGTCGAGCAGGCACAGGAGATGGCCCTTGGGGACCAGCTTCTCCATGAGCGTCAGCGACTCGATGCGGATGTGCGCGCGGCTGCTGGTACCGCGGCCGATGAACTCAATGATCTGAGATTCGCGCGTGCGTGGGGGTGTGAGGGGCGTGAGGAAACGACGGAAGGAGGGAGTTAGAAAACAGGCATCCCCATGGGGGGAGAGAGAGAGAGAGAGAGAGAGAGAGAGGGAAGCCAAGGAGCGACAGGGGAATCGGCCACGCACATACTCGCCCGGCTGCGTCAGCTGCGGGAAGGAGTAGGTCAGAAGCTGGCGACGGACGGGCGGCACGGCCTCGTAGGAGTGCGTCTCCTCGTGGGCGAAGCCATCCAGACCATCCAGATTCAGGTCGGTGGGGTTGGGAGCGCGGCCGTGCTTGTTGAAGTACGCCTCGATGTTCAGGCGGAAGGCCTTGATCCGGAGGAGGGGGATATTCTTCACGTGCAGGCTCAGGGACACCGGCTGGCCAGCGCGGAAGAAGGAGCGATTGGCCGCCGAGGCGAAGGTCAGCTCGGAGCTCTCGACCAGGGACCGGTACTCGTAATCCGGCAGCGAGGCAATCCACTTGGCCTCATTGGCCGGAGTGGCGGGGAGGGCCACAGTACCGCCATTCTGCAGCATGATCCGCGCAAAGAGCGGATGGATGTCGGACGGCGTGAAGGAGGAGGTGATGGTGTCGGTCATGCCCTTCTGCAGGAAGTAGCTCTCGAAGTAGGCCTCCACCATTCCGGGCAGGTCGGCCACCGGGGGCACTGCCCCATCATTGTCCGACACAAGGAACTGGTAGTTGGGCTCCTTGATGGTGATGCCGGACATGAAGCGGCGCAGGGAATACGGATGGAGGGTCCAGTAGCGCTCGAAGTTGGCCAGATCCAGCTTGACCGGGCCGGTCTGCCCGGCGGCCATGGCCTCGCGCGTGCGCAGCGTGCGATCCACATCCAGGAAGGCCTCCATCCAGCGGGACATGAAGGACGCCGGCAAGGAGCTCTTCTGCACCCACTTCATGTGGGTCTTCAGATACTCGTGCAGGTTCTCCTCGGTGGGGGCGCGCGAGTAGGCTGACTCGAGGTAGCGGCGATGGAGGACTGCATAGGCGAGTTGGGGGCGAGAGGGAGAGAGAGGGAGAGAGGGGGGGGGAGAGGACATGTTAGCAGGAGGACACGCAAATGCACGTTGACAGCCAGATAGGGGCAAGGCGTATGACGGGGAGAAGGAGCGTTGTGCAGGCATGTGTGTGTGTGTGTGTGTGTGCTAGGAGGCAGGCACTTACGGATGGGGTACAGGCGAAGATTGGAGGCCTTGTTGGAGGACACCTTGGAGATGATGTACTCGATGCTGCTGGTGGGCAGAAGCTCGACGCGATCGCTGAAGTCCATGCCGGAGCTGGCGGCACGAACGATGAGCTTCGGCAGGCGCGGGTCAACGGGCGACAGAGCATGGATGAAGTTGGCCAAGTTGTCGCTCTTGACGGTGTCCGGGTTGACGAGGGCCAGTGCCTGGGGGCTGAGGGAGGTGTAGTCATAGCCTGGATACGCGACGAAGGGCCACAGAAAAAAGCGACAGAGGGCGAGAGATGGCCGGAGACAGAGACAGCGAGGGAAGGGGAGGGGGGGGGGGGGGGGGAGATCAGAAGGGGGCCCCAAAAGGAGCGAGGAGCAACGGGCAACGGGGGAGCCACCCGATCGCCAAACAAGCTGTGCGCACCATTCTCCGACAGGAGGGCCTCGACGGTCTTCACCGGGTCGATGATGTTGTTGTTCAGCAGGGTCGGGTGGGCGCTCGCGCCGGCAGCGGCACTGCTCTTCTCGGAGAAGGGCACCGGCTGGGCCGACACATCGGGGATGTTGAAGAACTTCTGCAGGAACTGCAGAAATTGCTTCTGGAAGTCGGCCACCGCCTCCGAGGAGAAGGTCGGCCCGACGCCATTGACCAGGAGCGAAGAGCCGAGGCGCAGCTTGAAGATGGAATCAAGCAGCTGGCTGTGCTCGTGCGATCCATTGCGCGAGAACTTCTCCAGTTCCGCACTGATGGCCGGCAGATCCAGCGGCTGGGACACATCCTGGAGCTTGTACAGCAGCGTCAGGAAGGTCTTCACCCGCGGAGAGCTGAAGGTGGTCTCCTGCAGGAAGGCCTCGCGGTTATCGGCGAAGGCGAAAGCCTCCAGCTGCATCAGGTCATCCTTGCTGGAGAAGAAGCCCGCCTGGCTCTCGCTGTCGACGATCTGACGGATGGTCATGGCAGTGGAGGCGACGTGCGCGGAGGGGGGAGGAAGAGGAGGGGGAGGGGGAGGAAGGGAGGGGGAGGGAAAGGGGGGAGGGCGGCGGATGCCTTTTTGTTTGGCTGGGGTTTTCTTTGTCTTGTTTGTGTGTTTTTTGTCGAGGAACGGGGCAAAGGTGTCAGGGAGGAGGTCCGAAGGGGGAAGAAAGAAGTGGGAGAAAGTGTTCTTGGTGGGAAGACTCGGCGTCTGGGGGGCGGCACCTGAATGGCTTAAATACATCTGGCCAGGGTGCCCCATTCTGCTGGGCGGACCGGGGGGGGGGGGGGGGGGGGGGGGGGGGGGGGGGGGGGCTGGAGTTCAGACGTGTGGGGGGGGGCGGGGGGGGCGGAGGGGCGAGCGCTTTGGGCGAGGGGCAGTGTGCCGCCCAGCCACACAGCTCGACACCGGGACCGGAGATGTCCAGACTCTCGCGCATGAGCCCCTGTCTTTGGCAAGTGTGTCCGCCCTCGGGGTGGGCATGTTGGGGTTCGGCGGCCCGACGAGGCCGAGGACGGCTGCCCTGCACCCTCGCAAGATGCATGGTACCAGGAAGCGGGTCGGGGGGCGGGCGTGCGGGCTACTCGAGCCAGCTGGGCTTTCCCAGCGAAGGAGATTCATCTGGGCCCCTGGCGCATGTCGGCTGCCGGCGGGCGCTCCTGCCCTCGCACCCACTTGACCGGAGGGCGTGCGGGGAGCGCCGATAGAACTATCCCCCTAGGGTCGCACGCCACCAGGAGCAGCCCCGTACCAGTTGCTCGGTCGCTCGGTCGCTCGGTCGTTCGGTCCGGGAAAACGGCCTGGGAGCCAAGCGGCCGGACCTTCGCCACCAAGATCGACCCGCCTGCCGTCCCCCCCCGGCCCGGCAGGCCTGACAGACCCCCGGCTCCGGGTGCCCCGTGCTGGCAAGAAAGAGACCGACAAACACGCAGCATCCACCGGCAAAGTGCGGGCAGGCGTTCGAACCATCCCCCAGCGAGCGGTTTATATTTTGGAATCCGGAAACTGAAACCTTTTTAAATGGAAAATACTTTGGCCGAACATTATTTCCTGCGGATGATCGGGGATGATTCCCGGCCGGGGCCTCGCTTTCTTCCCCTCCCCTGGTGAACTGTCCGTCTAGTGGCTAGTAGCGTCCCCGTGCTTGGATACGCGCGCGCGCGTATGTGCCCCGCCCAAGCACGGGGGCCTCGTTCAGCAGGCTGTCGCCCCTCCGGGGGGCCCTCTCGGGCTTGTGTGCCGGTGCCCCCATGTCCCCCAGCCTGTGGGAGATGCCCATCGTCCCTCCAAACCCCGGGCGAGAGGGGAGCTCCTGAGGAGCAACCGACCTGGGGGAGGGCCGGCCGGGCTCGGCGGGCGCGCCGGCTGGGGGGCTGGGAAAATATCGTGAGCGCCCGTCCCCTCTGCCCCCTGGTGAAGGTGGATGCGTCACCACCCCCGCAACATGAGCCCCTCTGCTGGAGCGACGGACTTCCCGCACGGGCGGCCCAGGCCCGAGGGAGCCCATGGCTTGCTGGGGTCCGCACCCGGGCTGGTGCCATTTCCCAGGGTCCCCCGCGTACCGGCCGGCTCGATGAGGACCGGCGGAGCAGGCCGCCGGAAGGTGATGTAACCTGCCCCGCCCCCCCGCACCCAAGCATCTTTCTCTAGACTGCCGAAGGCACGCTGTTCGCCAAGGCACGGGCCTTTTTTTTTTTTCCCGCGCCCAGACCCTGGAGGTGGATATGGTTCGGAGGGCGCGACTGTTGCCGATGTACATTGCCCCGCGGGGGAGCGGGCTGCTCGGTCTTCCCACCCCTTTTTCTCCGGGTGAGGCCCCTTTGCAGGCAGGCCGGGCCCGATGTTCCAGCGGGTTTGGGCATGCTGACTGCCCCAGCCCGCAGGGGGAGGGAGGGGGGCGGGGGGATGGAGCCGCCACCGTCACAGCTGGGCCTGGACAAGAGGGCGGCCCCTGGAGCGGGACCGCCGTCCGGTCTGCGGGCTGTGTTGCCGTCTATTTTTTGTTATCGACAAACACTTTCGAAATCTGACGAGAGCGCCCTCTGGCCGGAGTCCCTGTCGGCGTACGGGCCGGCTGGCAGGCAGGGATGGGGCCCTATTTATTTACAATTTGTCCCGCTCCCTGCGCCTGGGCCCGGGAGTTTGCCGCGTCGGCGCCCATCGGGGCCCCTGTTCCATCGTACCCGGAGAGGCTCTCGGCCACCTCGCCCGCCTGATTGGGCTGGCCAAATGCGGAAGGCGGTCCCGGCGCCTGAACACGGCCAAGTACGCCTTTGAGGTCGCGAATCGAGTTACATCGAGTTTAGGCCGTGTCTCGTGAACAGGGCGGGGATCTGGTTCTCGAGATTGACGGATCGAGTGTGCAGATGCGTGGCAGAGATGCCTCTGTCCGCCCCCCTGCCAGGGCGCAGGTATGACCTTGTTGAGGGCATTCACGCTCTCGTTGTCTTGGAGTTACGCCCCGGGAGAGAGTGCTGTGCCACTTGGCCTGCACATGCTTGCATATCCAAATATATATATATGTGTGTGTGCGTGTAAAAATGTGTCTGTTTCTTGTGGTGGCACGCGTAGCCCGCTAAATCAAGTCTATTTCATGAGTTGAGGGAGAATACTCAAGATCCCGTCAACATGCATTCTCCATAGCTCACCAGGGGACGCCAAAGCTACTCCCGAGGAGGAGGGGGGGAGGGGCGGAGTGGAGGACATCCCATCCATGGAGCCGCCCCAGGAAACACCCCCGGGAAAGGGCGAGAGGTCGCGTGTCAGTGCACTTGGTCGCAACAGAACGGGGGGCGACGCGAAATGGGGTAAGGCGTGTAGGCAAAGGCGAATGCGCGGGAGGGCGATCATACGTGGCGGTAACTGAAGGGAGGACACCATCTGGATGGGCGGCCTGCTGGGCGAGTGCTTGTGGACCAAGGTCCTGCAAGTCCGCCGGGAGGTTGTATGAGTGGACTGCCCCGCCGAAAGGCGACGATGCGGCCAGGTGCAGTGTCGTGCCCAGATTGCTGGTGAGCATGATGCCCAAGAAGAGCAAGACAATAGCAGCAATGGTGCAAGTGTGTGTGTGTGTGTGTGTGTGTGTGTGTGTGTGCGTGTGTGTGCGTGTGCGTGTGCGTGTGTGTGTGTGTGTGTGTGTGTGTGTGTGCGTGTGTGTGCATCCACGGGAAGGGAATGAGGATGGGGTCGAAGGTAAGGAATCAGGGAGGAGCAGAAGAAAGCGGAATACTCAGGGTGCCCGCCCACATCTGCCCCAAGAGCAAGAAACGACAAACGGCGCACGTTTCCACCAACGCCAGGACACAGGGCCCGGTGTCATAGCCGACCGGGCGCCGAAGGACCACCGATGCTCGGGTACTGGTCAATGCATCGCGAAAGTACAGCGGCACCAGAGACCCGGACACCGAGGAGGTGGATGAGACAATCGAACGCCAAAGGCCAGACCCATCCGGGGCCGGCGCATTGTGATACAGCAGCGGATGGTCACCAAGCAGGGGGACATCCTCATCGCGGCTGGTGTACGTGAGAGACCCCGGGGCGCTGGCCGAGGAGCAAACCCCGGCCTGGGCATGCCCCGTGGTGTCAAGGGACAATGCCCCCCCGGCTGAGGGGGTGTGATGATGGCGCGGGATGACCACCATGTCCTCGGCCGGCTCGAGCAGACTGAAATCCTCCTCGTCGAGGGTCATCTCCACAAAGTCCGCAAGGTCATCCTCCTCCTCCTCTTCCCCCTCCTCTTCGTCGCCAGCACGGCCGTAGGGGGCCGCCGCCGCCGCGGCCGCCGCCGCACGCGACCGAGCGTCGCCGGCCAATTTGGCCCCCGGCCGAGGAGCACCCGCCTCTTGCTTCTTCTTGGGCCCCTGACCATCCATCCCCGGAGGCGGATGGGCATCGGGCGCAGGGGGGGTGGCCGCGCGGCCGGACACCCGGCCGGCATCGGAGTGGGGTTCCGCACGCCCAGCCCTGGCCGCCTGGCCGGCGCCCACGGAGCCGGTGAACTCCGACAGCGGCGGCAGGCGCCAGATATGCACACTGGCACTGTCAGCCGAAGCGGCCGCCAGCCAGCGAAGCGCCCGTGCCGGGTGTCCAGCCGCCGGCGCCGTACCAAAGGCCAGAGAGCACAGCCGCGCCGGGCGACTTCCTCGGCGGAGTTGCGCCACCAGCCGCGGACGCAATGACCGAAGGTCCACGCCCGACTGGGCAGAAGCCCCGGCGCCGGGGTCGAGCCTGGCCCCGGAGTGGGGTGGCCGTGCCAGATACGAAGCGGGCGGCAGGTCGAACACCCGGATGAGGGTGCCCTTCTCGGAGGCGGTGGCCATACGTCGGCCGCAGGGGCTGATGGCCACAACCCGCGTTGGGGTATTCCGATGTGGCCGCAGGGTATACGGCACGGCCATGATGCTGGACTGCAGGCTGAGGGCGGCCGCGGTGGTGGCGGCGGCGGCGGCGGCGGCATTTTGGGCCGGCGATGTCGAAGGGATGGGAGAGGTGGCGCGGCTGTTGCGCGGCCGGTCGCCCGGCGGGGGGCTGCTCATGAGCCGCGGCCCGCCGAGAGCCGCTGCCACTGTTGTATCCACAAAGCAGAGGGCCACATAGAGCGGTGCACAGGGGTACACCAGTCGGGGATACCGGCCTCCACGGGAGGCCAACGCCACAGGAGCTGCGCATGTGCAGGATGCATGCGAGTGCGTGCGCGGCACATGGTTCACATGCGCAGGTGCATTGGATGTCCATGCTAAGCGGTCAGAAGTGTGCATATGTGTAGAGGATGCACCAAAAGAAAAGGTATGGGGGGGGGGAGGGGAGGGGGAGAGAGGAGAAAGAGAGAGAGAGAAGGAGGGAGGACAGCAAGGTGACAGCAGGGGCACGAAGAGAAGACGCCAAGGTGGCATAGCATACCGCCATCCGACACTGGGGTCATGGCCGTCACGACGAAGCAATTCTGCCGGAGATCGAAAACATGGACGCCATCCTCGACGGTGATGGCCAGCAGAGGGGGCGTCGCTTCGGCCGGGTCCAGGCCCGATTGGTCGGGCGAGGAGAAGACCAGCGACCGAACGGTGGAATTCATGGGAATATCCGCGAGCGGGGGGGAATTGGGCCTCTGGGGGGGGGGGGGGGGGTGGGGGGGGGGATGTCAGTGGAGGTGGGAAATCCCACGCCAAGGAGCCAGCCAGGAAAGTCCGCGCGCACACTCAAGTCCAAGATGAGCACGCGTCGGGGGGAGGAGGTGTAGCTGAAGGAGGCCACAGAGCAGGCTGGCAGGCCACTTTGCTCGGCTACATCTGTGGCGGCGTCGGGGTCGGCGGCGCCGGCCACCGCAACCACAGGTGACCCGGACCCGCGCATGGCCGCGACAGCCACCCCGCCGATGACGCCTGCATGTGTATGTGTATGTGTGTGTGTGTGTGCGTGTGTGTGTATGTGCACGCGTTTGGACCGGGGGAAGGGGGCTGTTGTGAGCGGGACACAGAAGGGGCAATGTTGGATCGAAGCACACGGAAAAAAAAAGGGCGCATGTGCCAAGGCGAGGCGGGCTCGGCCACATGAACGCACGAACGAAGGACAGGGGACGGAGTGGGTGTGATTGATATACTGCCAGACCCTTGGAAAAGCCGACCACAAGGCATCTTTTGTGCAGGCAGCAAATGGCACCCGGCGGTCTTATGGTGAGTGTGGACAGGGGGAGGCCGGAGGCCAGGGCCGGAAACAGAATGGAATGTGAAGCTGCCCAAGGGCACACGCACTGAGTGTCATCGCTAAAGGACATGGCCAGCGGGAAGCCCTGGCTCAAGACACCAGGAGGACGACCAACGCCGAGGACGGCCCTCCCCGGCTCGGCCTGGGGATGCCGGGCGGGCAGCGTGCTCATGATTGAGGCAGACGGGAATTAACAGGCGCAGAGGGGGAAAACAGGGGGGGGGGGGGGAGGAGAAAAGGGGCCGGAGAAGGGTGGGGCCCGTGACCGGGCGATCAGAAATTAGCCCGCCCTTGAATCTGCTTTTACCCCCGGGGTGATGCCCTCGGGGAAGCGGGGGGCGGGGGGGTGGTGTAGACGTCCGGGGAGAATGTGCAACGATCGAGCCCCTGCAAGAAAAGGGCTGAGGATCGCGCCCGGGGAGGATGGAATCTCGATCACCACTCCCCGGGACGTTAGGTGGCGGGTGGGATGCGGGGGGGGGGGGTG